GGTTCTTTAAATAGGAAAATGACTGACTGAGCTTTTTTTCGGGCCAGAATAAAGTGGCCGTAATAACGAGTTGGTCGTATTAACGGGGTGGTCGTAAGGCGGGATTTCACTGAATTCACGGTTTATCTTTCTTTTCGCCGAAACACCGTGAACTTTGATCAAGTAGAGGTAAATTCGGCTGGTTCCAGCGCCTTTCGATATTGTCGCGTATGCTTATTAGCAGCCTTTTTCGAAACAGCTATATATATTATGTAACTAGCATAGCAAAATCAATAACTGTAATTTTAAATGAGGTTAAGTGTACTAAGGAGTGAATAAAGATGTTAAAAATGCTCTAGTGCTGAAATAGGGCAAATTGTTGTTGTATTTTGCGGTTAGGTGCACCAAACAGTGAATAATTAACGGGAAGTTTAAATGCTTTTCCAGTTGAGTTTTACATTAGCTACAAAAAACAAGCTAGCATCAGTCTCTATTTACTGTATAGTGTTGTAATATTGCTGTATGGAATAAATCAATTTTTCAGTTGTTGATAAATAATGGAAGTTAAGTTTTTTTTTGTTGTTATTATTTTTTTTGGAACCTTTGCAACTGGTCTTGCAATTGTGAAGCAACTTAAAAAAAGAACATATTTTCAACAGGATTGAACCCACCTTTGGTGATCCCGCACTAAAAAATATGATCTCGTGGTTTGCAACTTGTTTTAGGCTGAACAGTTCAAATTTTTCAGAATATATAATATTATTAATTGTAAACTAACTTCTGCTTGGATTTAAAGATGAAGGACTGGTGAAATCATTTTTCAACCTCCTTTTCGTTCCTCCTTGAAGAGAGAGGAACCTGGGACCTTCTTTGAAGGAGAACCTCAAAAACGAGGTTGTATCATTTATATGACTCACGGACTATATATCCTGCACTACTTGTGTCAAATGATAGTAATCGAGAGACAGGCGTTGAAATTAGCATCGGATCGCTTTCTATTTCAAAAATATGATTCAAAAGTACGATCAATTAAACGTTATCATTTATTTACGTTACTACATTGAGGACTGCACTCATTTGATCGAAACATTGGTCAGTATCAATTAACAAATTGAGGTCAGTTTTTTATACGTTTGTTGTCTTATTGATGATAAATTGCGTCATAACATTGTCAAAGTGGCTGCGAGTGGTTCCGCAATAAACTTTATTTGACAATGTTATGACGCAATTTATCATCAATAAGAGGTCAGACGCGTAAAAAAACTGACGTCAATTTGTTTTTTACAATAACAAGATCCAAAAATGGTCAAATGTCGGGAATAAATGAGGG